CTCCCCCCCCCCCCTCCCCCCCATGCACCGCCCAAGTCTCGTTCCCAAGATCTTAGTGGAGGGCTAAGCATTCCCTGCTTCTTGCAGGCCCTAGAAGCTTAGGCTTGGCACCTGATGGTGGCAAACAGGTCTGAGAATGAAGGCTCAATGTTCTTAGATCTTAATGTTTATATTAAAAGATGCTGACAAGCAATTTGTCTCACAGACTTGACTGAAAATGAGTCATGTGTTGAGTAATTTTTTTACAGTATGTAAAAAGGCAGAATGAATATGGGACTAAGCTAACTGCTTTGCCTTGAAGGAGCCTGTTGCTGTATTTCTTTGCAGAACTGAGGGTGAAGGCAGAAAGTATTTTCCTCATGAAAAGCTAATAAGCTGTGTAATTTGCGTACCCATGTCTAGCTGATCATTAGGGCCTTTAAACGAGGACACTTGCTTAATGGTTCACTTATTTGAAATTGTCTTGTGGTTATTCAGTCTTGAACACCCAGGTTTGCAGGGATGGGCTCTGCTATCTCCTAATACTAGAAGATCCGGCTTCATTTTAAAAGTGCTGATAAGTAAAATCCGTGCATGATGGCCTATATTACCTCTCTGGGGTTTTGATCGGCTGCAGCTCTTCAAACTTAGTATTTGTGCAGAAGTGTTTTATATATCATGTTTGTTACCTCCTAGGGAGCTCCACCTTAGTGAAGTAAGAGTGCAGCTGGCCTTGTTTGCTACATCCAAACCAGGTTGTCTAGTGTTGGAAAAACTAAAGCGAGTTTATAGTGTAATCAGGATTGAGCGGTGCCCTTCTCATAAAGGGAGCTTATCTGGATGAACTTAGTTTGTGCTAGCTGTTTAGTCTATGCAGAGACAACATTTTAAAATAAGAGGTTCACACAAAGCTATTCAGCTGTCTGAATGTATTGGAGAGCTGGTCACTTGCATTTTGAAGCATTATTGCCCAAATGTGCAAGTGATGTCTTAATAAACAGTGCCAGCAATGTGACTGAGGCCAGGTCTTGCGTGTTCTGGCTGATAATCAAAGTGGATTAGTGAGATGGGTACACTTCTTCCCTCACTTTTAGGACTGTAGAAGACCTCATGACCTCTAACTTGGTGAACAGAATAGTCTTTTGGGATGGGAGTGGTGCAGCTGGTGACAAGCCACAGTCTGTGGCACTATCTGCTTTAAGCATCAAAGTGTGCTCTAAGCATAAGTCTCAGTACACATGCAATTAAAGTTTAGAAGCTTTCATAAATCTTCTTGCTGCTTTTGGGGGTGGGGTGGGTGTCTTACTAGTAGGGTGGGGTTTTACTAGTGTGCGAAGATGGACTCTGCTATGCATCGCCTTACAGGTCTGATATAATACGGCTGCTGGCTTTATTCTATTAAGTAACTGTATGATCATGTTTTCCCTACTCAAACTGGTTTTCAGTCTGAGATTGCATTTCATCTCCATTAAATGTCTTCATGTGGCTACTTGTTGAGATACTCCCTACACTGGAAGGTTCTTTTTAGCTCTTAAAGCTTACATAAGGTTATTCTGCATATCCACTGCAAGTTGGTTGGCGCAGAGTAGAAATGTGTTTCTTCTGACTGTAGAGAACATCTTTGAGGCAAGCATAATGTTTGAGCATGGCTCTGTAGGTAAAGACTGTTCCTGTATAGGCAGCAATGGCATTTCTTCAGTTGTGTTTCTCAATGGAAATTGGACTGCTAGCTGTCATCAAAACCTTGTATGGTTAACTGTTTATTGGTGATGGGGAGTGACATTTGACTATGGGAGCCGGAAATGTGGTTTACTTAAAGCATCAAATGAACTGAGAGCTTGGCATTGAATCAGCAGAATAGAAATGCTTCAAGCTGACTGTTGCTTGTTGGGGAAACTGCATGTCACAGGGAAGAGATAATAAATGCTGAGCCTCTGTACAGTTGATTATCTTGTTGCTTAGAGTTAGAAATAAGGACTTTTGATCTCAGAAGAGCTCCGAGATGTTCAATTCCTTTGCTGTCTTTACTGGTTTTGCTCTTCATGTGAGAGAAAAGATATAATGTGGAGTGACAGAGTGGACTGTTGTCCACCTCTGCTCATCAGTTCTTTTATATGCTGGACTAGCTGTGCTCCTGTTCTAGTATTGGTTCTAGTACACTGAGTAATACATGCTCAATACTCCATCTTAGCTCTGCTTTTGCTCAGTTTCAGCAATGCTGACTTCCTTTAAGTATGTTTTCAGTTGATAATCCCTGTAATGGTGAGGGTTCCTCTCTTGTATCTAACCCAAAACTACTCTGACATGCAGTGACCGTCATACTGCTCCCTACAAGGTGAGGAAGAGAGGGTAGCCTGGCATCTTACAGGGTGTTTCCAGACCTTCACTGTTTGAAGCAAGTGAAGCAATAAAAAAAGCAGGATGCCTGGCTTTTGTTCCTGGCTCTGTTGCTGACTTGCTGGGTCAACTACCTCACTTCTGTGGTAGTGTTATCTTTGCTGCACGTGCTGCTGAACTTGCAGTCCTGTTCGGTATGCTACCTTCAGTGAGATCAAGCTTGCCCAAAGAAGCAGCTTGCATGCTGTGGCCAGTACTACGTGTTCATGGCGGTCTTGGTATCTGTCCTTCAAAGCATCTTT